CCCTGCAGACCCCCCCAGACCCCTCAGGACCCCCCCAAATTAACCCCCTCCCCACAGCCATGGCCTTCCTCACCTACATCCTGCTGGCCGGGCTGGCCCTGGGCACCCAGAACAGGTACCAAAACCCCCCCTTTTCCCAATTTTCCCCGAATTTCCCCGAACTCCTCCCCCTCCCCCGCCCCAGGGGGGGTCCACACGACCCCCCTCGACCCCCCAAATTTTTTGGGGGTGCCCCCAGGTTCTCCCCAGACAGCCTGGGGCTGGTGGCCAGCTCGGCGCTGGCCTGGCTGGTGCTGGAGGTGCTGAGCGTCCTCCTGAGCCTCTACCTGGTCACTGTGAGCACAGACCTGACCCCCATCGACCTCCTGGCCTTTGCTGGCTACAAATACGTGGGGTGAGCCTCTTCCCGGCCCAGCATTCCAGGTTTTTTCCGGGATAAAACCCCCCCTAACCCCACTTTTCCCCAGGATGATCGTGGGGCTCGTGGCCGGGTTGCTGCTGGGCCGGCCCGGTTACTACGCGGTGCTGAGCTGGTGCTGCCTCAGCATCTTCGTGTTCATGGTGAGCTGAGGGGGGTTTAAGGGGATCCCAGAGGGTCTGGGGGGGCTCATCCAGGTGAGTTTTCCCTGGTTTTTCCCCCCGGCAAAGATCCGGACGCTGCGGTTGAAGCTGCTCTCGGAGGCGGCGGCCGAGGGGGTTTTGGTCCGGGGGGCCAAGAACCAGCTGAGGATGTACCTGACCATGGCCATCGCCGCTGCCCAGCCCCTCTTCATGTACTGGCTCACCTACCACCTGCTCAGGTGAGGGGGGGAGACCCCCTGGAGCCCCCCAAATTCCCTAAAGCCGGAGGGGATTCCCAAAATCCCGCCCTGTTCCCGGCAGCTCCAATAAACGGTGTCTGCGGAGGGCAAAGTGTCACTGCCTGGAGTTTTGGGGGGGTTTTTAGGGATTCTGGAGGGATTTTGGGGTGTGAACCCACTTTTAGGGATGGTGGGTCTTGGAGAGACCCTCCTTAACCCCCCCAAATTCCCTAAATCTGGAGGGGATTCCCAAAATCCCGCCACGTTCCCGGTGGCTCCAATGAACGGTGTCTGCGGAGGGCAAAGTGTCACTGCCTGGAGTTTTGGGGGGGGGGTTTAGGGATTCTAGGGGTTTTTTTTGGGGTTTGAGTCCTATTTTGGGGTGTCTTGGATGTTGGGGTGATGGGGAGACCCCCCTGGGTCCCCCAGGATCCCCCAAATCCGGAGGGGATTCCCAAAATCCCACCACGTTCCCGGCGGCTCCAATCAGTGGTGTCTGTGGAGGGTGTGAGGGGTCTGTGCCTGGAGTTTTGGGAGGTTTTTAGGGATTCTTGAGGAATTTTGGGATGTCAGTCCACTTTTGGGGGGCCTTGGGTATTGGGGAGACCCCCTGGAGCCCCCCAAATTCCCTAAAGCCGGAGGGGATTCCCAAAATCCCACCCTGTTCCCGGCAGCTCCAATGAACGATGTCTGCGGAGGGTGTGAGGGGTCTGTGCCTGGAGTTTTGGGGGGTTTTTAGGGATTCTTGAGGGATTTTGGGGTGTGAACCCACTTTTAGGGATGGTGGGTCTTGGAGAGACCCTCCTTAACCCCCCCAAATTCCCTAAATCCGGAGGGGATTCCCAAAATCCCACCACGTTCCCGGCGGCTCCAATGAACGGTGTCTGCGGAGGGTGTGAGGTGTCTGTGCCTGGAGTTTTGGGGGGGGTTTAGGGATTCTTGAGGAATTTTGGGGTGTGAACCCACTTTTAAGGGGCCTTGGGTATTGGGGAGACCTTCCTTAAGCCCCTCAAATTCCCCAAATCCGGAGGGGATTCCCAAAATCCCGCCGCATTCCTGGCGGCTCCAATGAACGGTGTCTGCGGAGGGCAAAGTGTCACTGCCTGGAGTTTTGGGGGGTTTTTAGGGATTCTTGAGGAATTTTGGGGTGTGAACCCACTTCTGGTATTGGGGAGACCTTCCTTAACCCCCCCAAATTCCCTAAAGCTGGAGGGGATTCCCAAAATCCCGCCCTGTTCCCGGTGGCTCCAATGAACGGTGTCTGCGGAGGGCAAAGTGTCACTGCCTGGAGTTTTGGGGGGGTTTTTAGGGATTCTGGAGGGATTTTGGGATGTCAGTCCACTTTTGGGGGGCCTTGGGTATTGGGGAGACCCCCTGGAGCCCCCCAAATTCCCTAAAGCCGGAGGGAATTCCCAAAATCCCGCCACGTTCCCGGCAGCTCCAATAAACGGTGTCCGTGGAGGGTGTGAGGTGTCTGTGCCTGGAGTTTTGGGAGGTTTTTAGGGATTCTTGAGGAATTTTGGGGTGTGAACCCACTTTTAGGGGGCCTTGGATATTGGGGAGGTGGGGAGACCCCCCTGGGTCCCCCAGGATCCCCCAAATCCGGAGGGGATTCCCAAAATCCCGCCACGTTCCCGGCGGCTCCAATGAACGGTGTCCGTGGAGGGTGTGAGGTGTCACTGCCTGGAGTTTTGGGGAATTTTGGGGGATTTTGGTGTCTGAACCCACTTTTGGGGGGTCTTGGATACTGGGGAGACCCCCCTCAAGGTGTGAGACCCCCAGAATGTCCTGACACCTCCCCAAATGCCTGGAGATCCCCTTATTTTTCCCTTTTTCCTTTTATATTTCTCTTATTTTCCCATTTTTTCCCTTATTTTTCTCTTATTTTCCCA